GTTCGAATAAGCTCACATTTGTCAACTGATTTCAGATTGTGTAAGGTTTACAAGCTCGACAACATTTTGGCAAGCTTACACCCTTTATATTGGTTACAAGCTTTCGACCATTTTCAAGTTCTTGCAAAATTAGGCGGCACAACGACAGGCTTGTGCCCTAACCTTCACTACCACTGAGCTCTGCGAGCTTGGGCGAAACCACTGCAGGCTTGCGCTCTAAACTTGGCTACTACCGAGCTCCGCGAACTCGGGCGACAGCACTACAGGCTTGCGCCTTAAAGATGGCTACCTCGGTCACTGCTGCAGCGATCTCTCTAAACATGTATCTAGGTTACGAGCACGAGGACTCGCTCTCGAGTTGTGCGAGCTCGAGCACTGCCGCTGTGATGTATCCAAACACGTATCTAGGCTACGAGTATGAGGACTCACTCCCGAGCTCAAGCACCGCCGCAGCGATCTCTACAAGCACGCATCTATGGCTCTAGGTCAACCCTGTGTTGGGTTCTATTAGGAATGTCAACGACATGCACAATATTGAACTTATTAAAATACATCCTAATGCAGCATAATCTACTATTAGGATTAGGACATTGCCTTTTAAAAATTTTTTCGACTCTGAAACGTTTTTGATTTCCTAGGTAGACGATCGTCTGAACCGCAAAGTCCATTGAGCAACCAGACTTGGCCTCCTTAATCAAACTCAGGTCATTGAGTCACGAACTGATCACTGGGCAAGGGCTTGTCGGGCTCAGGCCGGTCGGACGTGCTGGGCTTGGTCCGGAAAATGGGGATCGACTTAAATCTTGTTCCCCCATTGGGGTAGATTATGAGAAGATGGTTGGTACATTCACCATCAAGGGAAGTAGAGTTATATTGTTGTCTGTTACTTTCATGGTTGGATGTAAACCTATCTCTAGGATTTCTATATATATTATGGTTCATGAGAATTTTTTAAGCCAGATTGAAGAACTTTATATCCTCTCAAGTGGAGTTCATAGACATTTGAAGCAAATCCCAAACTACTGGGATTATTAGAGGAGTTTTAGGATATGTCTAAGGAGCCTGAAAAGAAAGGTAAATCGAGTAGTTAATGTTAAGAGGAATTTACCGCAACATAGTGAAGATGGAGGTTTCAATATCTCACATTTGGTCGTCCTAGACCACCGTACCATCAACTGAAAAGGGGAGGAGGTGACTTAGGCTTTGATTATGTGGGTTAACTCGGATCCAAGTAAAGTCACTTGGGGAGATGTAAAATTTCTGAAGAAAAATTCAAGAGATTTAATCATTGGGGATAAGGATCTCAAAATGGAGAAGGTATTGTCATAAACAAAAGGATATGGGAAGAAAACATGGTGGTGAAGGGGAAAGGATGAATTCTGAGGAAGACGAACCAGTTTACCAGGAAATGGAGACTCGATTTGGGGAAGATATAGACAAAGACAAGAAGGATATTCTGGCTCATCTGTAGGTTCTGTCTAGGTTGATTAGTTAGTGAAGTGGGCAGAGTATTTATCTATTGATTAGATATTGGGTACGGTTGTTAGGTCAATTATAGTGCAATATTAAGAGGGTGCTTGGATAAAAGTTAGAGGAAATTGCACCCCATACTAACACATTTAAATTATATTACACTTTTCTATCCCTTATATACTTGTTTTTAAAATTACGTAAAGAAGCTACAAATATTTTCAGTTATACCTAGAATTCAAATTTTCGTATTGTTTTCAATATACACCAAGCCCAAAACCCTTTTTTTTTTTCTTTTTCTTTTTCTTTTCTTTTCCTCTCCTTTTTCCCTCTTTGTTTTTCTTCTCCCCCGTCACTTCTCTTTCTCCTCGATTGATCCCTACATTTCTTTCTTCTACAATTCGCAGAAACCCAAAAATCTCACAACAATCAAATCTCAAATTTCATTTTCTTCTTTCCGCACCCGCGTAGGGCTTCCGGCAACGGGGTGGTTGACGGTCGGCTTACGAAGGTCGCAGCCCATCGGAGGTCGGGGCCCTTCGAAGGTCTCCGAATAGTGCTCGAAGGTGAGGTCGCTGGTTGTCGAGGTTTGCAGCACGATAGGGGTTGAGGCTCTTGATGCGATTGGGGGTCAAAAAGGTCAGAACTTGTCGAGAAATGGTCTGACATGCAAACCAACGCCGGAAACAAGACGCAGCTGGTGGACGACCGAGATGCCTCCTTCGAAGAGATTGGCGATCAATGGTGGTTTCATCGGCTGTGGCGGTGGACGATCGGGGTGCTGCTCTCAAAGGTGGTTGGCCGGACTGGTTCGATTGTGGTCTTCAAATTCGCGACTGCTTGGACCGCACGCTCGAGGGCTTGGGGAGTGGCTTCTGGATTGTTGTGGGTTGGTTGCTGACGGGGCGGACGTTGAATTACTGCAGGCTGTATGCGGGCGGTGGCGATTGGCCTATCGCCGGGGATAGGCTGCTTGATTGTGTACAGAGATCGGATGAACTACGGATGGCTTGTTTTTCTGCTCGCGGGATGTGTTCGAAGGATGGTTGTCGCACATTTTCTTGATTTGAATAATCGAGGATTGCCGCTATTACACGATCATTTACAGCGTATGGGGTCGGCCTCACTGCTGCTGGTGGTCATCGGATAAAGTGCTTGATGGCCGATAGAAATATATAGAAGTTGGGATTTTTGCTTCGATGCCAAGTCCTCTTGCCGAGAGGAAATAAGGGGAGAATAGAATAAAATGTTAGCAACTTTGGTAATGGAAAATAATGCCCCAGATGCCCAGCGCCGTGAGTCGTCGGTTTTCAATATATCTACGTGACAACACATATATGTTGAGTATATGTACAATATATCTACAATATATATACAGTATATGTTCACGACAGTATATGTTGCGTGTATATACATGCAGTATATGTTCACAGCATTATATGTTGCGTGTATAGGTAGACAGTATATGTGGTGTGTATATGGAGTATATGTTCAGTATATTAGCAGATTTTTTTGTAAACTATTCAGTATATGTTGTGTGTTTATGGAGTATATGTTCACCATATTAGAATATTTGTGTTGTATAGGGAATATAAGTAACTGTTATAATATGTTTATATATATTTTTATCTATAGAAGTAAAAAAAAAAAAAAAAAAAAAAAAAAAAAAAAAAAAAAAATAAAAATAAAAAAACAAGAAGACATAATTTTTTGATGGACTACATGTTTTTTCGTTGCAACATATATTGAATATATACAAGCATAAACGTAAAATATACCACTTGACGGCTGCGTGAAACAATATATGTTTTTATTTCTCTCCATTAAAACATGTACAAGATGCGTGAATTAAGGAATTAAATGAGTCAGTTATTATTTTCACTTCTCTCTCTTAATCAAACCCACAAAAAGGAGATGGAGATTGAATGAATATGGTAACTTACTTTAGGCATTTATGTGGTTATATATTACATATTAGGTAGAGATGTAATTATTTGTTTATGAATTATATTTTTGCAATTTTTTCAAAATCTTGTTGGATAGATGAAAATGAAAATTTCCCGTTAAGTTATGCAACCACTTTTGACCAATCACTTTTTTTTTTAAGAAAAATTAATATCTAATTCAAGTTTAACTCAACTCGATTATGCTCAATATTATTAATATAATAAAATAATATTTAAAATAAAATTATTAAAATTGATTTGATGTAAAAGTTTGATCGATGTTATAAGAAGTGATGTTAATTAAAATTATATATATTAGTGAATTAAAGTTGATGTGATTTTGTGAGATTGATTGTTTGATAATATTTTAATAACAATCTGAAAGGGGAATTGTGCGATAAAATTATCTAGAAATTAAGTGCATGCTCGGACACAAATTTTTTCAGAAAAAATCGAATCATTTTTAACCAATCATTTTTATTTAATTCAAATCTAACTCATTATCCTCGATATAATTAAATAATATCACTCAATCATTCATACACATTACATCTACTATAATTCACTATTCATCCACTCACATAATTTTAACTAATCATCATTTTGCATCATTTGTCTTATACTTTTACATCAAATCAACTTTGATTATTTTATTTTAAATATTATTTTAGTATAAACTCGAAATCTTACTAACAACTAATAATATCACTTTTTTTTCAAATTTAACCATACGAAACCAAAAAATTCAAACAAAATTAAACCATCTTATATTCAAACATCCCAAAGAAGTATCCTCTCTCCAAATTCTCTCTCTATTTATGCAATTCTTATCCTATCCTATGTAATCATTCATTTTTGCATCTGCTGTTAAGCCAACTAGTGAGAATCTTATGCGATGCACGGGATTTCGTACTTTAGAATATTTTTTGTAAAACTCCATATTAACAATATATTACCCGCTGACCCGTTTATATTAATATAAATAATATTTTACATATAAATTTATTTTGTAATACCGTAAAATACTAATTTTACATATTTTGGTTAATTAAAAATTCTATTGTCGTATAATGTCATCATTATTTATAACATTTATAGAAGTAATATTCTTTTTTTATATAATGATAAATATTTAATGTATATTAATATTATTTATTGATGTAATTAGTTAAAAAATATATAAGCAAACTTAATATTTGTTATGAATGTGATAATATGTAGTTAAGATAAAATGAAATATGTCCAAAAATATCTGCTTATGATATTATCCGTTAAATGTTTGAATGAATTTGAAATTCAAACTACAAATCGACTGCCAATTTTCCAAAGAACTTCTAAAAAAAAGTTACAAATTGTAGTAAAATCAAAATTTTTAGGCGAGATTTTAATTTCATTAATACCAAAAAAAAATACATTAAAATTACAAAAAATTAGAAAACACAACATAAAACAATATATAGTTCAATATTTCATTGCTTGATGGTTTGATATTTTTATTTGTTATTTTAAAAACTACTACCTTTAATATTGAAAAAAAAAAAAAAAATAGAACGTGACCATATAACCGCGTAAAGATAAAAATGGTCAACATCCAAGTCGAAGCAGCCCTAGCGGCCATCTAGTTTTGCTCTTCTTTCTGTACTGTCCGCCTTTATGTTGAGATGCTATTTCTTTCACAAACACTTCTGCCTACAAATGGTAATAAATTTTGAGGTGAAGTGCAATTCTAAGACATGTATTATACAAAAATGAGAAAAAAGCTTGTCTTACTAATTGACTTACCATTTGTACTTGTGTTTTGGGTTTATAAGTTCCCGCGGCCGGTTGATCGACCGGCATATCGTTATTGGGAACAAACATTTCGAACCGCTTTTCATTGTTTTCGGATAGTTCAACTGTCGACAAGCTCGACTTAGATGTGTTCCCCTCATCCATTTCCAGGCTTAGCTGCAGGCCACCATATAAGTTCAATTCCATATATATTTAGTTCCATTAAACATACAAGTCATACTATTTTTCATTTGTGAAAAATATACACCTGCAAAACTCGATTCTCGAGAAGTGCGAGGCGGTGTAGGAGTGTGCCTTTCTGTTGGACTTCTTCTAAAGCTGAGGAAAGAGTCTTGCACCCATTGTTGCTCTCTGCCGCCGTGCCGAAATCATCGTCATCATCTGATTCGTCTCGTTTCGACACTCTATTATTATGTTTCTCTTCCAAAAGGAGGAGCTTTGTATGCACATTACACACACACACACATATAAAGGCTCAAAATTTCACGATTCTAATTAATAGTATGGTGAACAAAAAAGAATTTACGTACCACACGTTCAAGACGATCCAGTCGTGCTATCACAGGCACGAAAGAATTAGTTTGTTGGCCCTCCATATTACACTATATATATGGTTTTCTTGTGTTTGTTGTTGGTTTTGTTTGTTATTTACGGAAGCCAAGCCAGGGAATTGAAAGGGAAATGCGTAGATGATTTTACTGAGATCCAAGAGAACAGGTTATTAATTAATGGCAACTATCGTACGTGCCCCCATACACTATATTATAATGGACGTTATTAATGCCAACTATCTTGTCATTATTTTATTCACAAGTAACATTATTTTATTAAATTTATGCTGCAGCTTATCTCCCCCTTACATATAAGCAAAAATGTAAGGGGTTTGAGGTGTTGACACGTGTCTTCTTTGAACAAAAATGTCCTCACTTTTGGGTGCTTTATGAGGGATACAATTGTCATTACACATGCCCTTTTTATGGACTTGTGAACGTTTGCGTGTTCCTTGGACAAAAAAAAAGTCTTATTTTCAGGCTTTATGCACGTTCCTTCAGACAAAAAAGATTTGATTTCTGGACTTGTGCACTGTTCCTTCATGTACGAAAAGACAGAGTACAGAAGAGAGGTTCGTTCTTCTTCATTTCCGAATTAAGGGAGACGACTTTTTGGCTTTCATCCCCATAGGAGGTATTTTTTTTTTTGTGCCTTTTTCCTTCGATTTTTTTCCGATTCAACCGTCGATCTGTGTGTTGTTCAAGTTTTTGCGATAGATAGAGGTTTGCGAGGCCATGATGTTTTTGTTACTGAAAATTTCAGGTACGAATTCAACCAATTTAGATTCGTATGGGTTTTATTTTTTCGATTTTTGTCTGCAGATAAAATTCGGTATTATCACAAATTTCACTCCCCGAAAGCCCACTTCTCCTCTCGGTATAACCTGACCACTCGCACAAAGTAACCGGCTGTCGGCGTCCCAACCGTGCCGAGAACCCCAGCCGTGGAGCATCAACACCCGTCGTCGCACAGCAACAACCTTCTTCCTCCGTTCGCTGAGCCCAGCCTCTGCCATCGACGAGGACTCACGGGAACCA